ATTTATGGTCGTTAATTAAATACATTAAGAACACATCGAGGAGCTCAAAATATTTTCTTGTTTCACAAAATTCTGGGAATAATATAGATGTAGAAGGGAATCATCATGCAATGCCATGAGTGACCATCATCTGCCGGCCACATGTCACCTAGCCCTTGGATTGTACGAAGATCCAATAGCCACAAGATACGTAAGGCTCGTTTAGTTTATTGATTTAAATTTTTAATTCGAGTTGAGATGTGATGTGAGAAATTTTTTACTATAATAAAAAAATTTAATGTGACTATTCTGAAGAACTTTTTACTGTAACAAAATTCAAATTTTAACTTTAAATGGGTGAAATAAATAGTGCCGCAGTCTTTCTTTACAACAAATATCTCCAGCTTGATTATAATCTTTTTTTTTTTCAACACGTCCAACATAGTAAGCCTTATCTATTTAAAGACCTAGCACTCTATGTAGCTGAACCAATCAACGTCCTCCAAAAAAAAAAAAAAATAAAACAACTTTCTTGTTACCTTCTTCCTTTCTACATATATAGATCACGCAAACCAAAGCAAAATACCAATAAAAATCATGGCAGTTTCAGGAAAGAATGGAAATATTGTAGATCATGCGATGTTAGAAAAGTCGCGCACTCCTACTTGTGACCCGTTAAACTGGTCCTTTATGGCCGAGGCTTTAAAGGGAAGCCATTTTGAGGAAGTAAAGCGGATGGTGAGGGACTACCGTAAGCCGGTGGTCCAGCTAGGTGGCCAGATGCTGACCATAGCTCAGGTGGCGGCGGTGTCCTGCGGCGGAGCAACGGTAGAGCTGGCGGAGTCGGCGAGGGCCGCCGTGAAGGCCAGCAGTGATTGGGTGATGGAGAGCTTGGAAAGAGGTATAGACACATATGGAATCACAACTGGGTTCGGTGCAACCTCACACATGAGAACCAACCAAGGTGCTGCCCTGCAAAAGGAGCTCATTAGGTGATGATCACTAACTTAATTAAGTTATATATGTTAGACAAACATATAACATATTACTTTCCATGTGACTTGAAATAGACTGTGTGGTGGTAACTGGTAAGTACCTAAAAGAGAAAAAAAAAAAAAAAAAGACTATGAGGTTTCTTTTATAGAGTTGAGAGACAGGAGGTTTTTCGTGCAGCTTTTCTCAATTTTGTGTGTGAGCATTTTGAGAGTCAATTTCTCATACATCACTTTAAGCATATAAATACATATTATTTTGATCTTTTTACAAAAAAAAAAAAAAATCATATTGACTCATCACTAATACGAAATAAGTCCCACTCAAAATCAAGCTGAAGATGGTTTACCAACCATTTTTCCAACCATATATATGTTTTAGCATTGTTTTACTGCATCTTTATGTATTGTATGTTACCAATATGGATGAATTAGAGGAAACATTTTAGAGTTGGTATTTAAATATATTATCTTTAAGACAATTTAAATCTAATTTAGACATAAAACTATTAATGATGATCCCTCAAAAAAATAATAATACTAATAAGGATGAAAAAGCTAGATTTTACCCCAACCTAATCCACACGAGCAAATGTGCAGTACATACTGGGTCACGAGCACAAAAGAGTCAACACCGAGCCCATATGCTACGCATCCCCATGCATGCGGTGGTTCTCATGCATGCATCGTTGCGGTCATATAAAAAGTAAAGAGTTGTTTGGTTGGGGGATTCATATCCCGATTCGAATCATGGTTCATAATTTGTTATAGTGTTTTCTCTCACAAAAAATACACATAAATTAAAAATGGTTTTAATCTCATAATTCTAATCCATGAACCAAATGTCTCCTAAACCTCACTTACTTTTTTTTTTCTTTTTTATTACATAAATAACTTTTACAAGATACAAGTTACTATCAATATAGACACTCTCATCTTTTTGAACCAAACATAATACGTTCAGTGACGGATTCTTAGATTTATTGAGGTAGGGAGCCTTGCAATTTTTTCAATTAGTTAATAATACAATAAAAATAAAACCTATAATGATATTTATGACTTACTAATAATTATTTGGATACTCTTGTCATTATTTAAAATACCCTTTCCAAAATTATAGTCCATATAATAGTTATAATATTAATTTTGTGGAGACTTAAGCAAATGTTTAATAGTAATATTTAAATCTAATTGTACAAATTACGAAAGAGAATTTTAATATTAAACATACACATAAGAAATAAGTATAAATGAATATTTCTACATCTCACTTTTTTAAATGATTTCTACATCTCATTTTGACATTTATTACTTGTTGAAACTTATCAATTAATTTAGAAAGAAATACCTACTTGGAGAAATGTAAAGATATAAGAGAAAGTGCGTTTTTTAGAAAATTAAGGCTTTGAGTAGAAAAATACAAGATGACTGGTAAATTTAAATTGAAAATAAAATACAAAAATTAGCAAAAGTAAACAAAAAAATTTGAAATAATGAAACTTGAGACTTGAGAGGACACATGAGAACATTCTGAAAATATGGAGGCTACATTTTTAGGAAAATAAATAAATAAATAAGTGAAGGCACTTAGGAAGAAACATATGAAAATTCTACACTAACCATGTCTTTTCATTTCTTTTTAAAATGTGAGTGTGACACGTGCTCCTAACTGAGTATTATCTAGGTACGCCACATATAATGGCCCCATTCATTTCACCGATTCGAGTTTTACTACAGTAAAAAGTTCTTAGAAACAATCACATCTAACTTTTTTACTACAGTAAAAAGCTCTTAGAAACAATCACATCTAACTTTTTTACTACAGTAAAAAGCTCTTAGAAACAATCACATCTAACTTTTTTACTACAGTAAAAAGCTCTTAGAAACAATCACATCTAACTTTTTTACTACAGTAAAAAACTCACATAAAATCACATCCTAACTCGAATTACAAACTTGAATCAACGAACTAAACGAGCCTTCAATATAATAGATAATAATCGAGCATATAAATACACAAACACATATTTACATCTAACATCTTTTGGGGCCAAAAAAAGAAAGAAAGATCACTTAAGGTATGTCCATTGTGTTTGATCACAGATTCTTAAACGCTGGAATATTTGGCAATGAAACGAAAGGAACGAGTGATCACACACTCCCACGTACAGCAACAAGAGCTGCAATGCTGGTGAGGATCAACAGCCTTATTCAGGGCTACTCAGGCATCAGATTTGAGATTCTTGAAGCCATCACTAAGCTTCTCAACCACAACGTCACTCCACTAGTGCCCCTAAGAGGCTCCATCACTGCCTCTGGAGATATTCTCCCTTTTGCATATATTGCAGGGCTCTTGACCGGCAGGCCCAATTCCAAAGCCCTTGGGCCCAACTGTGAGCCCATGACGGCTTCTGAGGCCATCCAATTTGTGGGCATAAATGGTGGCTCGTTCTTTGAGTTGGGCCCCAAAGAAGGTCTGGCATTGGTTAATGGCACAGGAGTTGGTTCCGGGTTTGCTTCAATTGTTCTATTTGAAGCCAATGTCTTGGCTCTAATGTCACAAGTTTTGAGTGCAATTTTTGCTGAGGTTATGCATGCAAAAATAGAGTTCATTGACCATTTGACGCACAAATTGAAGCACCATCCTGGCCAGATTGAAGCTGCTGCAGTAATGGAGCACATTTTAAGTGGAAGTTCTTATATGGAAGAGGCGAAAAAAGTTCATGAAACGGATGCTCTACGAAAGCTTAAGCAAGACAGATATGCTCTTCGATCTTCACCTCAATGGTTGGGACCGCAAATTGAAGTCATTAGATTCTCAACAAAATGTGTTGAGCGTGAGATCAACTCTGTCAATGACAATCCTTTGATCGACGTCTCGAGAAACAAGGCCTTGCATTGTGGAAATTTCCAAGGGACCCCTATTGGTGTCTCTATGGACAACACAAGATTAGCCTTGGCCTCTATTGGGAAACTCATGTTTGCCCAATTGTCTGAGCTTGTCAATGACATCTGCAATAATGGGTTGCCTTCAAATCTCTCCGGGGGCAGGAACCCGAGCTTGGATTATGGATTTAAAGGCGCCGAGATAGCGATGGCAGCTTATTGTTCCGAGCTTCAGTTTCTTGCCAACCCGGTTACCAATCATGTGCAAAGTACTGAGCAACACAACCAAGATGTGAACTCATTAGGACTAATATCTTCAAGAAAAACGGCTGAAGCAGTTGAGATCTTGAAGCTCATGTTGTCGACGTATTTGGTTGCTCTATGCCAAGCAATAGACTTGAGGCATTTGGAGGAGAACATGAAGAGCACAGTTAAGAAAACAGTCAGTCTAGTGGCTAAGAAGGTCCTAACCGTGGGGGTCAATTTGGAGCCACACTCTTCAAGATTTTGTGAAAAGGAGTTGCTTGAAGTGGTTGACCGCGAGCATGTTTTTGCCTACATCGATGATCCTTGTAGCGCAAGGTATCCTCTAATGCAAAAGCTGAGGCAAGTCCTGGTCGACCATGCATTAGAGAAAAAAGATGACCTGAATGAAAACGCTTCAATCTTTCTAAAGATTGGCAGTTTTGAGGAGGAATTGAAGACCCTTTTGCCTAAAGAAGTTGAGTCTGCAAGGAATGCCTTTGAGAGTGAAAGTTCCGCCATTTCCAACAGGATCAAAGAGTGCAGGTCTTATCCATTGTATAGGTTTGTGAGGGAAGAGTTGGGGACTGAATTCTTGACTGGAGAGACGACGAAATCTCCAGGAGAAGAATTTGATAAGGTGTTCTCCGCAATTTGTGACGGAAAAATAATTGAACCATTGTTGGAGTGTCTTAAGGAATGGGATGGCACTCCCCTTCCCATATGCTAAGACTAAAGTGCATGCTGCGTAATGATGGAGCCAAGAATGTTTCTCGGGAATTAATAACTATAATAACAGTTTGATTACATGTATAATAATTCTGCCCAGTGAAAACGTACTGTGTTTCTTCTTAGTCAAGGTTTTCTTTTCTTTTTTTCTTTTTCCTTTGAAAAAAAGGTTGTCTTGTTACATTTTTTCGTTACGGCTTTAAACAACTAGCAAATTGTAGCTGCCAATCAAAATATGAATTAGCAGCATATAGTTGAAGTTGAAGACAGATACAATCAAATCCAAAATGTCGGCAAATCAATCATATATGGAATTCAAGAGAAACGGCCAAGCATAAGTGCATAATATTGATCAAATTTTTCAGTCATTAAATATAAACGTATTTTGTATATACAACCATCTTCACCGGATCATAGTAGTGTTTTTTTTTTGTTTTTTTTTATGAATATCATCAAACTCCTTTTTACATCCTGCATACTTACGGAGAATTTGAGCAATAATCTCCTTGTCGCTCTCAGCTTTTAGATGCAGCTTCTGCTCAAGGAGAGGATAATTTCAACAGAAATGCAACAGCTAACAAAAAGTGATGAAAAGGAATTTCGTAATTTGAAACCACATATATTTAAAGAAAAGGAGTAGGGAAATCAAAGGCATAACCAAAGGTTGCCGGAAATGAATAAAGGTATTCCATTTGTTGAGAGATAATTTTTTCAAGTGGATCCCAGTTTTGCATTACAGGTGAAAACGTGGAGCTTTCCTTGGGACGGAATTATGCCGAGTCAAAAAACTCCGCAGCGAATATCGTTTTCCTTTCTTCCAAACTTCACTTCCACGTAACTTCTTTTTAAGGCATGCACCCTAATTACCTAGCTTTAGCCGACTAATTGATGTTTAGGTAAGATTAAGATGGATCATACATTTATTGATGAACTTTTGATTCCGAAAATAATAACGTAACTAGCAGTAGATGTTTAACTGACTTTCTATTCATTTTTAGGAAAAATAAAAAGGAAAAGAAGAAAGTCATTCATAATTAAGCTTTTCTTTTGGTAATAGGATCGACGTTTAACATTTTTTAAATGTTAAAAAAAAAACAAAACAAAACAAAACAAACATTAAACCAGATGCACCCATATATATGAGCTAGGAAGATAAACAAAACGCACATGCAATTTCCAAAGTACCAGAAATCTGGTAGTAATTTCGTTTGTAAACCACGTATCTAAAGACCACCTAGTTAGTCTAACATAATGAAATGAAGATATATTCATGTCCGGATACGAACTGAACACGTGACATCTTGATCAGTATCACACTAGTATTCGCACTAAAAAGATAAAAAAATAAAAAATCTGTTTTTAACAATAGAATTATCGTGTTAGTCTAAAAAGAAAATAAAAAAAGTACCGAATACTGAGTTCAACTCGCAATAAGACTAAATAAAATAGTCTAATAATAGGTATATATTTAAATCATTTACTTTCAATAATGTGTTTTCTCAACCTACAGAGGATGCCTTTTTCTTGACTCGACTGTTATTATGAGTTTATGATTTATGTGGGTTGATGCAAACAAAAATATATATGATAAACGAAGGAAACTTATGATCAGTATTTGCAGTGTCATCAAATTATAATCACTGCTCCTTTCAAAAAAAAAAAAAAATATATATATTATCATTATTTATCAATATTGAAGGACGTCTGAAATATTTTGGGCTAGAATATATATAGTTAGCACTTATCAGTTAGGCTACTGTCTCAATTTGCACGTCTTGTATTTTTAATAGTTAATCCAAAAGAAATGTGCTCTAATTTTGTTTCAAGTAAATGGACTAAAACGAAGGAAATTATTCATATGGAAAAAGTTCATGACATCTCATCATGAATATCAAATTTTCAATTAATAATGTACTAGCTAACATAAAGAATAATGAAGCAGCACATTTGCAGTAATATTTTTTGCTTTTTATATTATTTTTAGGGAATCAACAAAAAAATATTCTTTTTAGGGAAAAGTCATTAATAGACGTGATTATTTATCAATTAGGGAAAAAAAAAAGATAAAGATAGTACTTGGAATAAAGAAATTTGTAGGAAATAAAAACTATGACCTAGGAAATCTCATACATACACTCTCTTATTTCCTTTTTTTTTTTTTTTTTTTTGAGATTCTTTCACATTAAAATGTAATAACACAATTGAAGATCTTGTAAAGTTTCCACTTTCTACTAACCGGCCTTGGAGCAGGGAAGAAATCAGCTTTAATTATTCGGTCCTATCTAAGATATAAATAGTATTCTTTGAAAAGAAGAAGAAAAAAAAAGGTACTAAAGCACTAGTTTCACTTTCATGAAATACAAAATTGTTTGGCACATTGATTTTCCAGCATTAATTGGGATTTAATCATCATTAGTGATCGAGAAGTTAATGAAATTATGACTAATAACTATTAATTTAATTGTACACATAATTTTGATCCCTAGTTTTCTACAGGCTTTAAAAAAAAAAAAAAAAACACTAATGTAACCTACACAAATGAATTTGCGTTTCATTCAGGAAAACAGAACTGACGAACATTATAGGCTACTCCTTTTAAGGTCAGCTTAAATATTGTCAGGTTAATTATACTATATAAATTATTAGTAGCGAATATTATTGTGTTGGAATATTTTTTATGTGGGCTTCTATAATTATAATAATTGAGTTTATTATGAGCTAAAACATGTTATAGATAATATTGTTATTGGGAATTTAATTATACATATATATAAAATATCAGTCTATAATGGGATGCACACACAATTTATTACTAGCTTGAGGCCTGTGAACTCTCTTTGTTCGTAAGTACTTTGGTCAGCTTATTAGACTAAAAAACCTCTCTAGCATAATTTATGAAGCCTAATAAGCCCAAACTAATTAAGCTCATTATGTTGTTAAGTTAAACACTTTATATATAAATGTTACGGGCTTTGTATTTGTGTGGTGTGTGTGGCCATTTTGTGTGGGGCATTATGTGTGTGTGGAGAGGCTATTGGAGAGGAGGGTGCATTACTCTCAAGCCCGTTTTACTGGCGACTTTTGACAGTTTACGGCGACGTTAACGCTTCTGACAGATAACCCACAACCTATTGTTTCTTATATGTATTAGATACTAAATAGGCATGTATTATTTCTAACATATTGATGATGAAAACATGGATCAATAGCGAGAACATTAAAACATGTACAATTATCTCAGTGGGTGCAGTAAAATGAAAAATAAAAAAGAAAATGGTTTGTTACCTAAGATTGTTTGGTCTAGTAGCAACCTGTCCCGTCTGTCGGGGTGTGTAGGGCTTTAAGAAAGATGGTGCGGTTCGATCTCATTTTGTATAAAAAGAATAGCAAGTAGTTGTAGGAACTTTTTGGAGCCACACTCTTCAAGATTTTGTGAAACGGAGTTGCTTGAAGTGGTTGACCGTGAGCAAGTTTTTGCCTACATTGATGATCCTTGTAGCACAAGGTATCCTCTCATGCAAAAGCCAAGGCAAGTCCTAGTAGACCATGCATTAGCAACAAAAAAAAAAATGATGACTTGAATGAAAACGCTTCGATCTTTCTAAAGATAGGCAGTTTTAAAGAGGAACTGAAGACCTTTTTGCCCAAAGAAGTTGATCCGCCATTTCGAACAGGATCAAAGAGTGCAAGTCTTATCCATTATATAGGTTTGTGAGAGAAGACTTGGGGATTGAATTCTTGACTGGAGAGAAGTCGAAATCTCCGGGGGAAGAATTTGATAAGGCCTTCTCTGAAATTTGTGAGGGGAAAATAATCGAACCATTGTTGGAGTGTCTTAAGGAATGGGATGGCACTCCTCTTCCCATATGCCAAGAGTAAAGCGCATGCTTCACAGTGACGAAACCTCTTTTTAGTATGCAAATTGACTATTATATTGGGAATCCATATAATTCTTTTATCAAAGGATTTTAAATACTTCTTCCACTTTTTTTGTGTGTGTTTCCTACAAATAACTTAATATATAGTTTCCTTGCATGCAATAATGATACCATTGTACACAGTTACGGATGACCATTTGCCTCATAATGGCTCTGAATGGATTTTTCCCCACCATACACCGGTCCAAGATTGGTATAAGAAATCCTCGATTATTATTAATTGGGAATGAGGCTGGATGATATCAGACACAGCTCTAGAACCACCCCGATTATATATGATTAAAAAATGTATAGATTAAAATAAAAATAAAAATGCATGCTGTGTATTAAGTAATTTAGATAATCTATCTTAAATGTTTATTTTATCTAGTATAAAATTTCATTAAACATCTAAAATTTTATGAATTAAACGGAACATAATTGGTGTCTCGCTAGCCTGCCGAGGAATCCCCAACCTTGCAGAGATGATATTACTGCAATATGTTGTGATTGAGAATAGTATTTGAAAAACCGATCTATCCCCATATCTAGATTTGTTCACTGAATCCGCAAATCCAATCAATCCGCCGAACCTATATTAACTCACATGGGTTGGGGTGAGTTGGGAGGAATTTTGATATGGTACAGGTTAAATTAAATCTCATTCCTTTTGAGTTGGTTTACAATTTGAGCATTTCCGAATTGGCATAAACAACCACACACCCTAGGAGTTGTAGATGTTGAACTACTATAAAACAAAGTTGATGGATGATAAGACTTTTTCAGTTTCATTGAAATTTTGTTGTTATGATGTACTGAAATTTCAAATAGTAAGGACCCTAATTGCAATTCGCTTGAATTTAGACTCGAATTAAATCAACTAAGAATATATGAATAATCTTGACAAATACCCATTAAAAGTACATGAATTAAAATTTTTACTATTTATTCTTGATTCATAACTTTTTTAGTCAAATAATTACACTAACAAAATAATATTTATTAAGAGTAAGGAATAAAAATCCAGACTCATGCACATAAATGCTGCAATTTTCTCAAAAGGATATAGAAACCATACTCTTTAATGTTAGCAGTAATCGGATTAGCCTTCATCACGTAAACTGAAGATTATAATAATGAAAGAATGAGAAGACATAACTATGGACAATATCAATAAACTTCTTTATACATAAGACAATAATTTGAGTGTGTAAAATTACGAAGGGCTTGTGGAAGTGAAGGGTCTGCTATTTCATCCCTTCACCTAGGACCTCATGTACAAAAAAATTCCCACAACCCAGAGTACCGAAAACCATGTTGGATCAGTGTTAATTTAACCGGCTAGACATCATGGTTAGTCGTCATCTGACAAATATACTACTTCAGTCGGTGCACTTGTACCAACTGGGTTAACCGATGCACTACTTGCGGTAAAGTCGGTGGTATTTAACTGGCCAGTGTTTGGAAGCCAACCTGCAAGTGATGGTGAAGCTGCAGGTGGGCGGTCAACATTCCTAAGTAACTCCAGCGCAGATAATATGTTGGGAAGAGCAGGCAAACCTCTGGAAGTTTCAGGAGGAAGGGTGGCATCACAGGAACCAGACTGATTTGTGGAAGATGGCAATCGAGGTGTTAAACATGGAAGTGCGTTTGACTGTGCGGCGGGGGCATTTGTTGGTGGCGGAGTCGACATTCTTTGGGGGCGAGGAGGAAGACTGGTTGCGGTTGCTGAACTGCGGAGATGAGGAGGGCAGGAACGAATTTCGGCACTACCTTGTAGGTTTCCATTGGAATAGGAGAGAGAGCTGATCTGAGGGGGTCTTGCTGTAGCACTAGGAAAGAGGGCAGACGGAGCGCTAGCCCCTTGCACTGGAGGAGGTGTACTGTGTGGGCTGATTACTGGTGCAGGTACGGTTGTCTGCAGCTCAGGAGCTAAAGTCTGCAGGCTAGCAGCAGCGGTGCTGGCCGCAGACGAACTGGCAACTAGCAAAGGCCTTAGTGCATTTTGTTGCATTGATAGCTGAATCTGCTGCTGCATGTAACTAGCATTTATATCTGCCAATCAAAATATCAATTAGCATCATATAGTTGAAGACAGATATAATACAAACAAATAAAAAATGTAGGCATATGCAAAACTTGAAATATTGCATGCAAGCATATATGGAATTCAAGAGAAAGTGCCAAGGACAATATTGGTCAAATTTTTTAGCCATGAAGATAAAAGTATTCTGCATATATAACCATCTTCACCGTAATCATAGTACTTTTTTTTTAGTTTTTTAGTTTTTGGTTTATTTAATTTGTGTGTGTGTGTGTGTGTGTGTGATGAGGAGATCATAGGTTTGAAATGCATAACTACTCGGTTGCACTAGCAATTCAAAATTATCAAGGAGATGTGTACCTTGCTGCGTTCCTGACCTACCAGATGACCTAAATTCCATGCATTTAAACCTGAATGCTTCAGCCAAGATTCTATTCATATTAACTTTGTTCTTGATATCATCAAACTCCTTCTTTTTGGTAAAAAATTCAGCATCAGCCTCCTGTTGCTTAAGTTCATACTTAAGGAGAATTTGAGCAATCTCCTTGTCGCACTCAGCTTTTAGATGCAGCTTCTGCTCAAGGAGAGGATAATTTTAACAGAAATGCAACAACCAACAAAAAGTGATGAAAAGGAATTTCAAATTTGAAACCAACCTTATCTTCAAAACCTTTACGCGTTTGGTCAAAGTCTTTACTTAACCGTTCCAATTCCTTCTCAAGTGAGTCCTGGTGCTGAGATGCAGGTAACCGGGGCATTGCAGGTAAGGCTTGTGCAGGACGGTTATTGAAGTCAGAAACAACAGAAGACCTCAAGTTAGGAAAATGCATTCCTGAGGCACCAATAGGTATGCCAATGGGCTGATTTAAAGAAGTTGAAGGTTGTGAAACAGATTGGTTTAACATGAGAGGAGGAGGGTTCGCAACAAGTTCTGTGGCCGGATTAAAGTTACAACATTCACTACTTGGCAAATTTGCAACTTCCCCAACAAAAGGTGCATCAGCTGCGTTAAAGCTAGAAGGTGGTGAATTAGAGGGCGGTGACAGATGCACTTGCGCAGCAGGCTCAGAGACATTTGCTTCATGGTCAGATTGGTTGGACGGTGCAGTTTCAACTGGTTGGGACACTGAACGTACAACTTCTTCAGTCGCGCTCTGCTCATCACGAGATGGGACATCTCCAAGTTGCATTCTGCAGGATATAGATGGTAGAGTACATTCATCTTCACGTGCCTGTCAAATTATAGATCAGTAATTGACTGTTAAAACACTTCTTCCAATTCTTTAGCGCATTTCGTTCACAAGACGTAATACAGAGAACATGTATTGAGTATCAACAAAATAATATCAGACAGATGCCGTCAAAAATAGGCCATAGGAGGTCCTTACAGCACAATGACATAATGACAGCAGTATATGAACGAAATAGTACCTGATTAGCTGACACTGGATCACCATCAATCATGGCTATTGCGGGATGCACACTAGATAAGTTCCCCCGAGACAACTCCTGAATTGGAGAGTTCTGATCAACAGCATTATCCACTATATCCTCCTGGTTCATGCCAGCAATAATATTTGGTGCCACGGTCCGTGTTTCATCATTCTCTTCGCTGGTTTGACCAACTTCCACTGCATCACAAGAAGCTTCAGGCACCACTGTAGTTTCCCCACCTGGAACGTTTAATGTGGCTGTGTCTGGGATTTGTTCTGCAAGTGACATTTGAGTGACAGAAGCAACGGTGTCACCACCACCGGAACTTGCATTCTCAGGTACTCTTGGCTGCATCTCATTAATTGGGACACTTACGGCAGTTGTATCAGGGATTTGCTCTTCTGACAAAGGCCCATCTCCCGAGACAAGGTTTTCTAGACCATCACCAGAACCTATCGCCTCTGGCACTCCCAATTGAGCCTCACTAGAACCTGTCGTCTCTGGCACTCCTAATTGAACCTCCTTTTCTGACACATTCACCGTTAACCCATTATAGATTTGCTCTTCAGATGAAGGTGGATTCATATTCACATGAGCAATATTATTAGCACCATCGTTAGAACTATTGGTCTGAGGAAATCTCAATGTAACCTCTTCCACATTATCATCAGGTTCACTTGAAGAACTATTGCCTAACAACTCATCAAGAGCCACCCAGGATTTCACCGAATCTATGCACTGAGTTTTCCTATCCTGAATTTTTATCCTTACAGCCAGATGTTCCGCCTCAAGCTTCTTTAAGCGTGTGTTCATCTGGTGTTCGAGTTCTTCAAATTCTTTAGCGAAAGAAATATCCACCGACTTAAGTTTATCCACTCTCATTGAAGTATTATTCTCCAAACATGAGCGGATAACAACAATTTCCATTTTCTTTTTTTCTTCTATACGCGCCTTATCTACCTCAAAACTACGCACTAATTCATTTTTTTCTTCCTGTTGCTTTTGAGTTAGTTTATTCAACTTATTGTGGAATTTCTTCTGGATTCCCTTTATACTCCTAGAAACATCGTTCTGCACCAATTTAGTTTCTAGCGCCATTCCCGACATGGAAATAAGTCTTTGCTCATTAGAAGATGGAGATTGTATTCCGTTCATATAGTCCTCCAGGGAATCACTAATAGATAATATAGGAGCTCTAGGAGAGTCTGCAACCTTGAGTTTCCCAGTCCGATATAAAAACAATCGTTTCAAACACCTGAGCTTTGAGTATTCAAAATCTGCCTCTTCTTTACTGCAGTTAAAGTTGAGATGTTGTATCGCAAGAGCAACTGATTCTTTGTGATTAATCTTCTGTTTCAGCATAGAAGCTACAGTCCAGCACTGAAATTCACAGTTAACATCCGCAAAGTCACTCAGAAATGTTCAGTTACCAACAACATTTTTTTTATTTTTATTTTTTTTTTGTCGCTAAAAACTGAAACAGCAATATATATTAAAGGAAGAAGCCTCTGACCAAAGATATCTGAAAAGCCTGTGAGATTGTTGTTGATTCTGTACTGACATGGTGGTTATTAGTGACATATTGGAGAAACTCTTCAACCATAGCCTCCGCAGTATCCTGCACACAGTGAATATAATATAATCAAAGAGAGGTCAATGCCACTGCCTGGTAATGAATGACAAAACTACAACTTAAACATATTCGTTCGTAGTTCATACATCCACGTCTCTTGGTCAACATAGGACGGTTGATTCTTGAACGGATAAAACTCAAAACTACTTTTTCCTTTTACTATGTAATATTTTATCTCATTCAAATTAGACCAGAAGAAAGAGAAAAAATCTTTTTTTAATAAGAAAATTACTGATTTATGAATCAAATACAAAGGATAATAAAAGATAAGGTATCCACTCAAAGAAGATCGAATAAAGAGAGGTAATAAGGACAAAAAAACTAGTTAAAAACAAAAAATTACTGGAAAATCCCATCAAGCCCCAAAAGGAACAAAAATTGTGTCCCTATTTTCCGATCTCATCTTTCCAATTCAAGACTATCAGAGAAAACGGGAAATTCTTGAAAGCCTTGTCTGTTGGCGCTCATAAAGTAGCTTGAAAATTTAGCTTTCTCATAAATGTCAATCAGCTTTCATATATCTTTCCTCAAAGGTTCTGATGTTTCTCTCCATCCAAATTGTCTACTGCATTGACAAAAGCATGCATCACCATCAGACCTTAGCCATCATATTAGATCCAAAATCCAGCACATTCTCCACCATCAAAGACTTGCAATGAGCTAAGGGAAACCCATTCAAAACCTGCTTCTGTCAAAACTTTCTGCCATAGTATTCTAGCTGCATGGCAATGTAGTAACATATGATCGATTGACTCCTCGTCACTTTGGACAAGAAGCACCAGGATGGCAAAATAGTCATCTGCAGATTCTCTGAACCATATCACATGTGTTTAGTTTTCCTAGGAAATTTAACCAAGAGGAGACCTTTACCCTATGTGGAACACTAGGGTGTTGTTTGGTATAAGGGTTATGAACCCAGAACCATGATTCTGGTTAGGAACCAGTGTTTGTTTACAAAAAGTAAAAGTAGTTCTGATTTGACTCACCCAAAATCAGTGTTTGGTTAGGATGGTTCTGATTTAAAGTTTGAACCATGATGTGATGTTTTAAACCATGAATCACCCCTGATTCTAAAACCATCCCCCCCTTGGTTTTGGGTGGTTCAAACCCATGATTCTGGTTCTGGTTTCAGAACCATGATTTGGACCCAAAATCATGAATCATGGTTCTGGTTCCAAAATCATGAATCATGGTTCTGGTTCCAAAATCAAAACTAGAATCACCCTGGTTTGAACCCTCATATCAAACGAACCCTAGATTTCCAAACAAAACTAAGGTTCACCATTCAAATTGTGGTGATTTGAACCCTTCTGGTTTGAATTGAAAAATCAGAACTGGGGTAATTTGAACTATCAACTACGATTTGAATCAGTATTTAGATACACAAATAAATTATAATTGGAAGTGGGAATAAAATCTAATGTGTGTTTGGATAGTGGAGTGTTGACAGTCATTTTAAAACTTTGAGAGTTTTTGTAACAAATCTATCATTCCTCTCTGGACGCATAGGAAGAAGAATTATCTCAATCGGAGTTAAAATAAGAAGCTATGGCATTTTGAAGCTTGAGATGGAAGAGAGAGAGAACAAAAGGCATTCCATTTCACTGTAGCATATAGGTTTGAATTGTGAGAATTTAAAGGACGGTTGAATTTAGTTGGGTGGTTTGAATCATATTTGAATTGGAATTTTCAATCCAGTGTCCTCTATTAAATGTTGCACCAAAGAGTAATTTGGACCTTGGGCCTCATTCGAAGTGGAATTTCAATCCAGATGGTGAACCAACCACCCCTAAAGGATTTGAAATTCGAATAATCCCCTACATCAACAAGGGTAGAGAAAAAAGACTTGCACGAAAATCACAACGCATTGCAAACTCACTTTCTAGAGTCAGGAATGGAGAGAAAAAGATTCTAACAAAGAAGAAGAGAATTCAAAACCTCTACCACCCTATCATTTAAGTTTCTTCTAAAACCAAAATTCCAATTGAGAACGTTATCAAATGAAAATAAACAGTTTTGAATAATGAAAGCTAACTGATTTTTTGACAAGTTGAACAAATGTGGGAAGGATAAATTAAAGGATTGTTTCCCACACCACACATGTTTTCAAAACAAGATTCTATCTTCTCTACCAACAGGACGTTTAAAATTTTAAGAGAGCATTTATTTACAAAAGTACGAAGCAGTAATCTACCCTAGGCATATCCAACTTGTTATTTTATGTGATAATGGAGACATCCTTTATCTTTAACATTTTTAACCATCATCAAGAACATCAGTACATAGTGAAAAGAAAAATTGCACAGTTTGAAGTTTGAAATAGTTTACCGAGAATTTGAGGATCTTGCAGAGTTTTAATATCTCTGGCTTCAAAGAAAGATGAAGACTCTTTTGGGCGTCACGCAATTTTCTCCGCTCCTCTGATTCAAAATTGTACTTCCGAGAAGTAGAAGTGCAATTTGCAGAAGTTCTGTCATTGATGGAAGCAGGGGATCCAAATGCTCCTAAAAAACAAGAAACAGTCTCAGAAAGTAAAAGGAAAAACAAAAAACAAAAAAAAAGGATTATAGGTAGCGAAAAGGGATTCTTAATAATATCTGGTGAGCCACTAGACCAAGAATAAGTTGTCAACAAATTTCATGAAAAAGTAAAATCAGAAGCAATACCAACCGTTTACCTTCTTTGCCCCTGGAAATTGTTTTTCCAACTGATCCAAGTTCTGGGGAGGGTACAACCTTCCTGCGCTTCCTAACACTTTCACCAATCGCACCTTCTATTTGAAAATGTGGTACCCTTTTCCTATTTCGCTGCGATGATCCGCAAATATATTTCCACTCAGGATGTTTTCCTTCCAAAAGTTTTGTCCAAAATATAGAGGGTTGCCCCTCGTCAATTTCACTTTGTAGCTCACCAGGTAATGAAGACTCTATGCGGTAAAGTCCTCCAATTTGTTGTACACTTGAAATAATTGAGGAGCTCGTCGGCTCTGTGTTTTTGCCATTAGAAAAAATTATCTGCAACATGTCCTGGGTAACATCTTCCAAGGATGAACCCTTGAGCAAGATATCTGCTTCAGAGGCCATGACACAGCCACTATGGAACTTATCCAAAGTCCAAAATTGATGAGATGCACCCCACATTAGCAGCATATGACTAGCACTCCAAGCAAGGTTTTGTATGTTGTTGTTTCCTTGCTTTGCAAGGATTAGAACCTTTTCTTCTAATGTAAAAGATGAGTACAAACGGAAGACTGTTATCTGCTCAGCCTGTGAATCAAGAGTTAATTTTTGCAGTGCTCTCACATCATTCACCGGGTTCCAGTCACTACCAAATATGATGACAGTATCCACCGATGACAATTTGATGCTGCTAAGACAAGCACGGGTTTCTATCAAGAGCACAAATCTGCCAGACTCCTTGTTGTTGAATCCATCGACAGCAGCTTGTTTCTTACCGTGGTGGAGACAGCTCACAATACGCTCAAAGGAATCTGGTCCAAATCTTTGTCGCAGGAAGTCATCCAAAAAATCTCCGATAGTATTCCTTCCAAAATCCTTATCCTTATCAATTTCGATAACAAAAGGCCCACATGAGAACCACAAAATAAACGGAGCCATAATCAGAACTAATTACGAGCAAACATACAGAACAATCCAATGCATATCTCTAGAACTACATGCAAAAGCCAAGAGCACATCTCTAAAATCACAGTTTCGACCATAATCAGCACTAAAGTTGAACATTATATATATATACACACACACACACACACACACACACACACACACACATATATCCAAGATACTGTAAGAACTTTATTAGTTTCATTTTATCTACACAGAGGGGCTTTATGAAAAATAAAAATAAAATAAAAGGAAAATCTCATAAAGTTACTTGAGAGCAAACATACAGAACAATTATATACACTGAAATGCACGAGTAAATTTAATACACAATATAGAATAAATATTGAAATGTAAAAGATCGGCCAACCAAGAACATAAGGCATATGGAAGAAGAGCTGGCCCAACTATAACATATCAGCCGCTAAGCACTGTCCCTACACTCAGAAAGGACAATATGAGGTAAACTACGGATTAATATTATTATTATTCCCGTTCAAATTAATGTCAAGAACACCATCTTGACAACCATAAAACAAGGACTCCTCTGTATAATACAATAAAAGTGTACATTACCCGTCATTAACTATCTTTGTCAAGGAAAGAGGTAGACATCACTTTGGTAAAGCAAAACGGGAGAATTGTGTTCAGCCAATTTCTTGATTGATTTTTGAATGAGTTGCCAAAAAAGGCATATATCTAACCTTTTGACTTTCTAAAAAAATACATTAGAGTTACGTTGCACAATATATTCTCATGGCTTCTAAATGATACACAACTTCAGTCCCATAGTTTGCTACAAAAATCTTCACACAATTCAGTCAGTTCACATATATCTCCAGACTTGCACTATTAGTTCTAGCTGCCAGGGAATGTAGGCATACAACCAAGTTACCAAAATTTCCCGAGTCAAGCACTGTTCTTATTGAAGGTATAATCTCAAATTAATCTGTTAGTGTTCCAGTGGCAAAGCAGCAGATGGAATTTCATCTGGAACCAGTACGTTATATATCAACAAAACCAAAAAATAATAATACTAACATCAAACAACGAAGTACCTGAAAAAGTATAAGTACTCTTGAACCTCGTTTCTTTATCTCCGAGAGCAACATGTCAAGAAGGTGAAGCTTGCCGCTTGCTTTTATGTCAACGTCTAAATACTCAACCTCTTGAAGACCCTCATGAAGCATTACTGCAATATTCCTATCCACAAGGTATGGGTGATCACAACACTGCAAGGGAATATCATCAAACTCAGACACCAAGTAAATCCAAGCAGTGTGATAAGTTAATACATGCAAAGGCTTACAGGACTGCAAGGCAAAAAATCGATCAAGCAATGCAAAGTGATTTTTCATTAAAAAAAAAATGCAGCAGAAGAAGACCATCCGAAACTAGATACTACAGCTCGTCTTTCAATGGATTAATCTATTAGAAAATCTCTTATATTTGCACCAGCAAAAAACACATGCATAGAAGCAGACACACGTACACATTCACTGCATACATCTATATATAAACAGGGGATTAGACCATTTAAAACTGAAAACGAGAAGCATGAGATCTCAGAAGCATTTAATAACACAAGTCAACCAACCTTTCGACTAGATACTAGCAAATCTTGGAGGTCTCCAGAAAGATAGTTCTTTTGTGGTGAGCAAAGCAAAGCAGATTTTGAAATAAGAGTAGCACAGTACTGCTCGAGCTGCACATTTGATATCTGTACGGGAACCCAATACTCTCTAAATCTAGAAGACTCTGACTTGGACCGATGTACGATACACTTTGAGAATTTTTCCTTCAGTTTACCAATATTGTTACTTGAACTGGTTGCTAAGGACTCGCTATTAGGTACTTCACTATTATATTCAAGCAAAGATAGCAAGTTAATGTAATCGGAAGTGCTCTCCTGCCATATACAGTAGGATACTTCATGTCAAAAAACTTAAAATAAATGAAACATATCCAATAGTAAAAAGCACAATAAAATCAAAACCTTTAGTTGGCCGCTGACAAGAAGAAGCCTCCTTTCAGTAGATAAAAGTTTAATTTGTGCAGAGTGTGGAAAGATCCTGGTGCGTTGGGACTCATCAATTATAATTAATTCCCATTCTATGCTTTTTAGATCATCCAGGTCCTGCAGAAATAGGGGGGAAAATTCTAGAACCTTGTAAAGCATAAACTATTACGTCATGAGAGAACCGTAAGGATTTTCTTAAGGTACCTCCACAACAATTTCCAATGTTGTTATAAGAACTTGAAGTATCAGGCAACCTCCCTCCCCATAAAACTCCACTTTCCTAATACTTCTACGCAAATCTTTATTACCATTGTAAACCACAACATTTACTTGTGGTGCCAACCGAAGGAATTCATCATCCCACAAATGAAGTGAAGCTGAAGTCGAGATTATTAAAAAAGGTCGACAAGCATTAGACTGAAATGATTTAATCAGTGAAATCGACTTCATAATTCGTTCCTGCAAAACAGAAACAGTGACATAGATAAAGTTGGTATGGCACTTGAAAGGAAAAGAAACAAGTTCACAGAACCTAGAACCCAACCATCATCAAAAAGAAAAACCCTGAAAGGAAATAATAATATAAAACACCTAAGAACTCAATGCAAGTACACTAGCAAAGACATTGTTCTGAAAGGAGATTGAGGCACGCCTCAGGTGAGTCAAAATTTTTTAGTAACAATCAAGGTCAACAGAGGCTTAGGCCTGTCCAAATTGAGGCGCATACTGAGGCTTAGCCCCAGTACCTTGTGGGGCTTAAGTTTGGGTCTGAAAACATTAACTAATACTAGCCCACCTCCTAATGGGTCAAGCTTTTGGGAGAAATGGTAAATTAACAAAAACAAAGACCAAGCTCACTTTTAAATACATGTTGTGTCACTGTGGATGTTTAACAGCTTGATTTACTAGTTATTTTTCATCCTATATATGCCTAATTTGTTGTCTATATGGCTGTTAGAGAGTTTCGCCTTGACAACTGGGATTTTTTCCCTTCTAATTTGTCTTTAATTTCTAGACAATTAGTTTGCACAAGAAAGAGGAGTATCTAGACAGCCTTCTCTTTGTTACTAAAGATATCGTATTGTTGACTACTAAAAAGCATATAAATATGTTAACCTAGTCCTCATTAATATTCCATACAGCTTTTAGAAACCACTAGTAATACTTCCTACAGGCGAATCACAGTTTGTATCTTATCCCGATTCCCTATGATACAGCCAAACACAAGCATGCACATTTGAATGCATGAAACAAAGTAAATAGAAAAACAGATTACTGATGAAAAATACTAGGGCAGAGAAGTTTCAAACCATCAGAATTCCATCAAATTCATATTTAGACATTCAGCAATGTAGACTTTTAAAATCAGACGGATTCTGATCTGACGTTTTGAAACATTCACTACCAGAAAGTGTTTCCTACCATAAGAGCTCTTCTATAAAAATCGTACCATCATGATGTTATTGTTATAAACATCTAATATTACCATATCGGATAACTGAGATGCCTAAATAACAATGAAATTCACTGATATCAAAACAAAAAGATGATTCACTTGCACCGACCTGCTCATCAATAACAACAGCATTCTGGCCCGCACGCCAAAAATCATGAAGCTTGTTAATGTAATCTGAAAAACTATTATCTGAAGGTGATGAAATTCCAGATTGCACTTGTAGTAATTTAACTGAACAGTTTTTACTCTCAAGAATCTGCAAGAATAATATAAAAAAATGCCTTATTTCATCCACGTCATTACTCTGCAAGCTATACCCAAAATCCAAAAGACAAGAAGGGCGGTGCATCTTTTACCATCAATTAACTATCATATAAACTTGTTTTTTAACAATCTTAATAATTAAACACCCAATAAGCTTCAATCAAGTTTCTGATATTTTTTGTTGAGAAAAAATATTGCATGGAATAAATAATAAGAATAGTTTTTAACATAATCGTCTATGATAGGAGCCGAAAAACTCTCACTTAATAATCAAATAAAGATGCATATAATGTATTCTTTTTCCAGCATCACATCCTAGGGTACCTCAGTATATATTATATTACTCTTCTGTATCACATCCTACAGTACCTCAGTATATAATGCATTATTTTTCAGTATCACATCCTAAAGTACCTTATCTGCTTTAGGAGAAGAAGAAGCTCCTTTCATCCTGATGCATCGATTTTCATAATCTTTCATAAGGCCTTGACCATCAAGTAAACTAAATAACAAATTATCCAACTCCCATGTAACATGCTCATAATCAAGACCACGCCATTTCACAAGCCACTCATACTGGGTATCTAATTTTTCTCCAGCATGCTCAGTAAGATACTGGTCACGCTGCTTGGGGGACATCAACAATCTTTTCTGTAGTAAACGATGTGGAAGAGTCCACTCTTTCTTCCACCTTGTAACCTGACGAAAGAAAAAGGATACTTGAGAAATTAATTATCCACTTCCCATAAGCCACCCAATATGATAATGTGTGTGTGTGTGTGTGTGTTTTATAGACATATTTATGTGTATGTATAAAATAACTGCCCTATGAAAAGCAATAACAGGAAACTGAGAAACACAATGCTCCAAATACTGGACCCCAAAGGCAGAAAGAGCACAAAACTTCCTCAACGAGAAGGCTTCAAAAGCAGATTGCTGCCATCGTCTCATTTTGTTTTTTATCCTTTGCTATGAATCTCATAGGATTGTTTGGTAAGTTCAGTTTGTCAATAGTTCGCATGATTGAGAGGTGGAAGGTGTGAAGGCTTTTTTCATCATGCATGAACGACCTCCACAGCCTAATGAGTTAAAAACTTTTCAAATAGGCTGCGGGGAAGAAAAGAACCTTTTGAAGTTAGGAGTTATCATTATGACAAATAAGATTTAGAAAAACGCATCTGGGACTGGGCTTTGCTTTAATGCTCACTCTGCATCCCTGAGGTGAGCTGGTCAAACACGGAATGAATACTCAGACTAAATTCCTCAGTCGAATGTTGTTTTATGTGTGATAAAGATGAGGAATATCTCAGGCATCTTCTCATTCAATGTATAATGTTTTTAGAAATTTGGCCATTGCTTCTTACAATGATTCCACGTGCGTCAAGTAGTGCATCTGATAGAAACTAATAGGCAAACTCCTGATGGTTCCCAAATGTCTGAAACTGGCAAGTCGAAAGATCTTAAGATCTGTATTTTTCTAGGCTTCTAGGAGTCCCTTTTCAAGATCCTTCTGTTGATTGTGCAGGTAGCATAAACACTAAAGTGCTTTTTTGGTGAAAAGAGCCGCTCATAGTTTTCTTTTGATAGTTTTCTTTTGTTTTTTCTTTTTTTCCCATATAAAGTTTCTTTTACATACACGTATATCTACATATATGTAGCTTTCTAATATATGTGTGTGTTTGTGTGTAAACAGCCACTAAGAAGTAAGAAAGAGTCTATCCCACTAAAAGGAGGGCCTATCCCACTAAAAGGAGGGTTGAGAGAAACATCAACATCAACATCGTCATCATCATCATCGTCGTCGTCATCATACGAAGAAACAAACAAACAAATTAATTCACTAAGAGGCATTTTCTATCCCACTAAAAGGAGGGTTGAGAGAAACATCATCATCATAATAAGGAGGAGGAGGAGGAGGAAAAAACAGAAGAAGGAGAAGAAGAAGAAGAAGAAGTAGGAGGAGAAAGAATTATCCCACTAAAAGGAAGGTTGAGAGAAACAACAAAATCACCATCATCATGATGATAAGAAGGAGGAGGAAGAGGAGGAGGAGAAGGAGAAGGAAAAAGAATTATCCCACTAAAAGGAGGGTTGAAAGAAACAACAGCATCATCATCATCATCATAATAATAACAACAAGAAGGAGAAGGAGAAATTAATTCACTAAAAGGCATTTTCTATCCCATAGGGTTGAGAGAAGCATCATCATCATCATCATCATCATTAATAATAATAATAATAATTAGAAAAGAGTCAACAGAAAAAAGAAGAAGGGATGAGAGGGATAAGATACCTGGCTTTTTCGGTTGAATTTTGCAACAAGTGACGGAGCATCAAGAAGCAGCTTATTTTCTGATACCCAACGATTGTGAATATGTGCAAGACCTTTGTATTTAACAAAAAAATCCCTTTCTTTTCGCAATCCTAGAACCATATGCATATAAAATCCAGAAGTGGATATCAGAACCTAAAGAATTGTTGTTACACCTGAATTCCAAATTACCAAAGCAAAACTTAAGTTTATGCAGTCTGACTTTCGTACCATCAACGTCTAATACATCCACTTCCCTGACATTCCAGATTGACTCAACTCCCTCTGACACCGAATGCACACCGGACTCTAACTTCTTCTTGACACACCCAAGGCAATACCAAACTCCAGGAGGAACATCATCCATAGGTGGGTCTAGACAAGAAAGATGATAGCTTCTTTTGCACTCCCTTCCATCACAGCACCTGATATTGAGTAAATAGAACATATTACAGAAGCAATGAAACTTGCGGGTCAAAAGTATGTTACACTTTTGCACTTTATAGGCATGACTATGTTTCCTTGGGAGCAATTTCAAAGTTCTATGTCCTTTACATGTAAAAAAAAATGGAAACACGGAATTTATAGGCCCTATATGTTTAGTCGCACATCAAATGTCATCCTACATTTTTTTATATAAGATTGAGAACCTTATTGAAAAGAAAGAAATGTTATTCTCCAGTTTATAACCAACATTTAGAAATTTCTCTCTGGCTTCAAAATCCAAATCAGATGCATTAACTTTCCATCTTTTGCTATTTTGTTTACTGAAAAAAAAAAAAAAGGTCTACCACAAACAGTTACTAGGAAGAGTAATTGAGGAGCCTTTTCTTATTCATATTTATCTACCATCTTGTAGGAAATGTGTTTCTCATCAGATTATACCAGAGTCTCACTTTTAAAGAATTGGAAACTGATACCTTCAACTCCTACATTCAAAACTTAACAAATGACAGAACAACAAAGAAAAGCAACTTGAACTCATACAAAAAATAACTTGCAAGAACTATTTCTAGGACTAATATCATGCTAACTTCCATATAAACAATTGTCAATGGCAGTTGCAGGAATCTGAAAGTGAATAGAAAAGGGTTACTCACAACAGCTTCCCCCCAAGCTTGCATGTGAAACATGTATATTGTTCACCACCTGTTCCAAGATCTCTTGGAGATTCCTTTTGCTGCAAATGGTTGTCACACTTCTCAGCAAGTCCCGTGATAGTGGCAGTGCTGACTTCATTTTCCCCTCTATCCTACAATATTCCGTAAAAGAGTAAAACCATGACAAAATCTATAAAAAGGTTAACCATCCATGGATAGATGTAAAATAATTACCCATAGATTCAAATAAATAGGTGAGTATTTATGTACATAGCCTTTATATTGATTCTAATAAATAAATTAATAACCGTTTACAAACAATATAGGGCCCAAAATTCTACTACTGAGTAATAAAAAACAAGGAATAATAAAAACTATCTATAGAATTAAACCCTCAAAGATCACTTCAATTTTTCTTCAAAACAAAAGAAGTATGATACGTATCACTGCATTTTAGCAAAAAGATTTAACTTCATCTCCATAATATGAAATGCATAAAGGGCAATTAGTGGAAGAAGAAGCAAAAAGCCGAAATTAATATAGAAGCAGCATATATTCTAATGGATAAGAATCAGAAATTCTCATATTAACTGGAATTGTACTTGATAAGCATACAGGATAAGAACTAACAGAAATTCTCAACAAATCCAATCTCTTATGGAAACAAGCTCAAACAGGTGAACAACAGCAAAATGGTAAGAGTAAAATAGACAAGCGGCAAAGAAAGAGAAACTAACCTTAGTTAAGGAGGTGGCATCGTCAATTGCGGTGTGAACTTTTTTACTTGCACTGGTTACCAAAGCATCAGAGTCCCCATCCAGTCTGATTCTTTTTCTGTTTGAAGATATGACATCCTGACCACTTTTGAGGCCTCTACCGTCCTCAGGTATCCTTCCACTGAATGGACAATCTACCAACTCCAGCTCTTTTACCTTCTCCGCTTCAGAGCAATTCTCTGGGATTATTTCCAGTTCATCATCAGCATTTTCAGTTGTCCCGTCATCATCACCCAATTCCCCCAACGTCCTTTCAGTGCACTCATCCAGCTCATCACACTCGCCTCGGCAATTGCTGCTATCTCCCTGAGAGAACTTATCCTCTCTTTCATGCTTCTCACCATTATCTAAACCTCCAATGGATAAAAAAGGTTTTTACTTACGATAGCCTTTTCACCATTGATCTTAAAATATTAAGAAAATAAATAACAAGAGAACAGCAACAGAACAAATATCATGCTGAAGTTCATAATGCTGAACATCAATAACTACAAAAGGATTGCAAAAACAAAAGATATGCTTCTCAAGAAAAAGAGGGAACCCTCACAATGACTAGGAGATATGAAACACGAATGCAGGCAATAGAATTCTCAATTACCTGATGCTTTAACCTTGTTCAGCTGTTTCTTGAAGATTGCCTTGTAGGACCGACCATCCAGTCTCTTCTTTTTCAAATCCGAATCGCACCTTTCACTTCTATCAGCTTCCTCGATCTCTGACGTTAGCTCTTTTACACTCTTCTCCTTTTTGCTTTTCTTCTGCTTCATAGAAGATGAGCCCGAGTTCTGATCCGGCGACTTCTTAGACGCAGACGAATTAGACAATGTAGCTTTTCCCCTGTCTGACTTCCGAAGAGGACTCGGCGTGCATTTATTCTTCACTCTCTCCGACTTCCTCTGAGCTGGTGGCGGAGTTTTCGGCGATTTCTTCACAAGCCGCCCCGATTTCCTAACAGAAAGGCTCGGCGAGGCCGGAGCCGCAGCTTTCTTTGCCAATGTCTCTCTCGAAGATCTTCTCAACCCAGACGAATCCGATGTCGCCGCAGAGCCTGAAGCAGCACTGAGTCCTTTGTCACCGCTTTGTTTCCCCTTCGAATTGCTATTCTCGTCGTCCTTAACTCTGCGACTTGGTCGAGTATCGCTTCCCATCCTTAAAAATCGCAAAATGCCTCAGATTAACAAGAGGTCCAAATATGGCGATTCAGAAACCCTAACCACAAACATCACCACATGCATCCATACACATAGAAATATCCGAATTCAACCTAGAATCTCCGAAGGCCCTTGCTTTAGATTTCAAAACCCACATTATCGTTTTCGATTCATAGAAAAACAAAAAACAAAAACAAAGTCCGTGTTTTGGAATCCAAATGCCAAAAGGCTACATCAAAATCGTCGTTTTTCTCTTGCTCCAAAACAGGGAGTTTGTCGCCGCCGCCATCGCCGGAAAATCGCGCTACCTCATCGGAGAAACGAGTGGGATTTGGTTTTTCTTTTTTTCTTTTTTCCTCGGAAGTGAATACAGAGGTAGTAAATATTGGGGAAAAAAATAACAAAGAAGAATCAAGAAAAAAGTGAACTAACCTGCATGGAAATGTTCTCGCTGAAAAATTTCGACCGGAGAAAAGGTATTATTAGGTCTTCTTCTTCTTCCGGAGCTCTTGCGAATTTTTCCTAAAAAGAGACGAGGAGAAATAAAAATAAAAAAATAAAAACGAGGGAAATGGTTTAAGCGCGCCGTTTAACATTTTCTTGTGCTAAAAGGGCGCGTTCACCTCACTAACTCAAATTTTATGATTCGAGTTAAAAAATTAGATTTGAGTTTTAAAAAATTTGAGTGTAATTTAAAATTTAGAATTTAGTGTTTAGGTATTGACTATTTAATTTTTGAAACTTGAGTTTTGTGTTCACTTGCACAAATGCCAAACTCTAATTAATTTCAACATTGACATGTATTTCTGTTATGTAAAAAACGTGAACATGCGCATGCATTTATGTTCTTTATAAGAATATATATAAATATAGGAAATGTCTTTAGTCCGGTAAGTATAAAATGACTGACTGATCCGGTCAGACAATTGTGACCGTTAGATTGGAATTAAACGGTGTAGATTTGTTTCTTTGTTTCTCCAAAACCTCTCACTTTCTCAAATGCACGCGCGAGCAGCATCATTCCTAAATCTTATTTTCTCTCGACCTCCCTCGACCTCCTTCGACCTTCCTCGAGCTCCTTCGACCTCCTCCGCAGCCAGATCGGCACCGACGAGTTCCAAGAGGCGGACCGCGTCCCGACAACTCCCTCAAGCAAACCCACTCCTATCTCCTTCTCCACCCTGACATTTCCTCTCTCCTGAAGCACCACCACTTCATCCTCTGTCTCCGTCGCCGCTTCCTCGAACGCCTCCGCAGGGGGGTTGCCGGAGGTGACTTCCGACAGGCCGACAAGGAGTCCCGCCGCCTAACGACCTCTCCCACAACCAAACCCACTAACATTTTCTCTCCCCTCAAACACCACCGGTTCATCTTCTCCGCCTAACACTTCGTCGACGGAGATACTCCCGAGGTAATCTTCCAAACATTTTAAATTGTACAGCATTTGTAAAAAAGAACTTAATTATACCTCGATTGTAGACTCGAATTATCTGGAAAATGGAAAAAATGGTTAAAAGGGGGCGTTTTGCAGAAAATTGTAGACTCGAATTATCTGGAAAATGGAAAATCGAATTATCTCCATTATCAAGTTACGCAGAAAATTGTAAATAGAGGGACATTTTGGAAGATAGAAACACTATGGCTGGGTCAAATTTGTGGTTATTTGAAGCTAATTTTGATTCGTTGCTTCGATTTGGTAGTTATAGGGTTTGTACATGTGGTAAACAAAAAGCCTATTGGGAAAGTGAAATGTCCCAATAGTAGAAAACTTATATAGATGCAGTACAAGTGGATTCATTTATTATTTTTCTGAATAACTATGAAACCGAAGATGTTTACAAAAAAGTATTAGTTGATTTAGTATTAGTTGATTTAGTTGAAAGAGTATTTTACAAAAAAGTGAAAATCGAAAATGCAAGTGGATTTATTTTTTATTTTGCTGAATAAGTATGTAGGCGTGGATGTTTGTGGATGCTACAAGCCAGTATAATTTATTCTAGTTGAAAGAGTTTTATACTAAAAGTGTGCTATGCGATATATCGTGTAAGTAGTATGAATAAAATTGTGTGATTATTGCTATTGTCATCTTGGTGTTTCTTGTGGGTTTTTAATTTTAATCTTTTGGAAAAATGTGTTGAGGACAGATGCATCCTGTGACATGGGAAGCATAAATTAAGCTATGGTGACTAAACGGGGTCGTAAAAGGCAGAGTGTGGATCATGTAGAAGAGGACAAAGAGCATTTGTCCACTTCGGTTTCTAACCAAAAATTAAATGTACGATGCTCCCCACTGTGGTTTGGTAAGATGTGTGCTCATTTTAGTGAGCGTAGAAGGGCGTTGGTTAAAGGAATGGGGTTTGGGGGGTTGTTGGAAATGGCTAGTGTGCACATATGTCACAAATTGATTATGTGGATGGTGGACAACTTTAAAGAGGAGGATTGCTCATTGACTATTTGCGGGAAGACGTTTGTCCTCACAACGGAGTTGTTTGGTGAAGTTATGGGGTTGTCTGATGGGGGGGACGACTTTGAGCAGCAAGGCACGGATGAGGAAGTGAATAATTGGAAGAAAGAAATAATGGATGGAAGGAGGCACCTACAGTTGTCTGATTTGGAGGATGACTTGTTAGATGATAAGCATCCTGATGACATATTTATTAGGAAGTTTTTACTGTTTGCTAGTGGAACTATCTTAATGCCAACAACAACTGTTGTGGTTGGAACAACCATACTTTCTTCCATAAATGGTGTTCATAGTGTGAAGAACTTAAATTGGGCAACACAGTGTCTTAGTCATCTTGTTAAGGCAATAATGCGTTATAAAAAACAGAAAGGGGAATTCATTGGTGGATGTGTGCTATTTCTACAGGTAAATGCTAGATTACTCATGTTCGAACTTGAATGTTGATGATTTCTTTGGTTGGGACGCGCATTAATTGTGATTAATAATAATCTTAACTTCCTTGTAAGGTGTTTTACCTGCACCACTTGGAGGGTCACTCTCAATTCATCGATCGTAGTAAAGTACCAATAACTGCGTGGACAGAGAAGAAGACTAGAGCAGTTCTAAGATGGATTAAGGCTTCCGGCGGTTACTCTGTTAAGAAGGTAACAAAGTTAAATGACTTGTATTGCAAATGTGTTTTAACTGTTTTTGGTTTCAATTTTAACTTAATTTGTTTAAATTTGTACGTGTATACTAACGCTTTATTGTCTTGATTAATTGATGTAGATGCGGTCATCAATGGTCGAAGAATCAAGTGTTGGAAGAAGGACCGTTGAAACGCATGCCCTCAACATCATGACCGAAGTAAACCGAACGAAGGATGTGGTTAGTGAGTTAGCTCAGAGATCGTGTTCTCAGCCTAGTGAAAGACCTTGGGAATGCAACCGAAGAGAATGAGAAGGAAGCCAAACGTGAGCCAGTGTGTGTTGAGTGTATTCCCCTAGACTAGATCCGAGCGAAATGTTTTATGTTCATTACGTTCTGACTATTTTATGTAACTAAAATCAAGAAAATGTTGTCTTTAATAGCATATATTCATGTGAGTGATGCACATGAAC